ACATCTATGAAAGAGGGTAAATCTAAAATTCATGAACTCAGCTTCCGCCTTAAAAAACTAAAAGAGAAGAGCAAATGAAACCCAAGATAAACAGAATAAAGGAATAAAGAGTAAATAATAAAATAGAAAATATAAAAATAATTGAGAAAATCTGGTTGTTTTGAGAAGATCAAAACTGATAAACCTCAAGCCAGACTAATCAGAGAAAAAAAAAAAAAGGTAAGATAAAAAATACTATCATCAGGAATGAAAGAAATGGCATAAATCTAAATTATAAAGATATCAAAAGGATAATAAGAGTATAATGAATAGCTTTATCCCAATAAATTCAAAAGTTAAGTGAAATAGACAAATCCTTTGAAAGACCACCAAACTACCACAGCTTACTCAACAAGAAACCGGTAACTATTCAGCATGCTAAAATTTTATTAAGAACTTTTACATATATGTTCCTAAAGGATATTAGTCTGTAGATTTTTTTTCAACTGAATTTTTAGTTTGAAAACAAAAACAAAAAACCCTTCCACAAAGAAAACACTGGAGTCAGATGCTTCAACCTGTCAATTCTACCAAACATTTGAGGAAAAAATAATATAAACTCTCCACAAAATTGTCTGTGAAATTGAAGATGAGAGAATACTTTCTCATACTTTTGATAGCAAAATCAGACAAAGACATTATTAGAAAAAAAAAATACTGTTGACCAATATCCCTAAGGAAAATTAATGCAAACATTTTTAACAAACTTTAAGCAAATCAAACCCAACACTATATATAAAAAATAAAACACCATGACTAAGTCGGATTTATCCCAGGGAAGCAAGATAGTCTAATGTTTAAAAATCAATGTATTTCACTGTATGAACAGACATTAAATAAACTAAAACCCCATTATTAGCATCTCAAGAGATGCAGAAAAAAAAAAAGATAAAATCCATTATCCATTATTGATAAAAGCCTTCAGCTACCTAGAAATAGAAGGGTACTTCCTCAACCTGATGAAAGTTATCCATATATAACAAAACAATAACAACAACAGAAAAAACCCTACAGTTAACATCATGCTGACTGGTGAAATAGTAACTTCTTTCCTCCTAAGATCAGCAATAAGGCAAGAATGTCTGCTTTCGCAATTTCTTTTTTTTTTTTTTTTT